GAAGCAATTACACAAATGACAAAATCACTTGGTGTTACATTGAATGGAACTATTACAATAATTAATCAAAATAAAGACATTAATGAATTACCATTTAATACATCTTTTATTCAAATAGGTTCTGTTAAGAAATTAGAAGATAAAGATCAAACAAATAAATTCATATCTGAAATACCTATCATTAAAACAAAAGATAATAAAAATATAACTATAAAAGATATATGGAAGAAAAAATTATATATTACAACAGAACATCCTCTCCCTTCTGAACTCATAAGACAAAAAGTTCTTCATATTGAAGAATATCTTTGTACTCCAATTGAATGTTGTATTGATGATGTAATTAAGAAGAAGAAACAACTTACTTCACAATTTATTATCTCAAATCAAAGAAATACTCCTACAATGACTCTCTTATCTCTTTTACAAGGTTCATTAATTCCTCGTTTGTTATTGTTTTTAATTTAATAATTATTACTCATATATCTAGAAGTGAATGGTGGAATTATTGAATATTTTGAAATGATCAAAAGTACTGATATTAATAAAGAATATCGTGAACAATTATTGAATGAAATAACTTCATTTCTTGATTTATGTAATGAATGTTTAAATCTTTATGAAACAATATTAAACAAGAAATATTTTCAACTTCATTTAAAAATGAAAGATGGATTACATTCTCTCTATTCAATTTTGAATTCTCTTATTATTAATGATTAATTATACTCTTCTTCTTATTTAATTCATTTTTATTTCTATTCTAGTATTTATATTTTATATATTATTGTTGTTGTTGTGTTCTTTTCATTGTATTACTTTCTTTTATATTTAATAATTTAAAAAGATCATTTCTTTGAACTGTTATTATCTCCATAATTATCTTTATTATTTTATTTATGAAATACATATTTATTGATTTTATTCTATTCTATTTATCATTTTATTTTTGTATCTTTTGTTTAATTAGTATTTTATGTTCATCTGGTAATCAATAATATTTAATATTTAGAATAAATGTTTATTTTTGTATTCATTTGAAATATCATCATCTAAATCATTTATATGTGAGTTTTTGAGATATTTATTAAAAGATATTAATGTTAAATAAAGTATTTTGATT